TATTTATTTATTTATTTATTTATTTATTTATTTATTGGGGGGGGGAGAAAAAGAGAGAGAGGGAGAGGGAAAGAGAGAGAGAGAGGATGAGCAGGGGAGGAGCAGAGAGAAAGAGAGAGAGAATCCCAAGCAAGGTCCATGCTGTCAGCTCAGAGCCCCCATGTGGAGCTTGAACTCACAAACCTTGAGATCATGACCTGAGCCAAAATCAAGAGTCAGATGCTTAACCAATTGAGTCATCCAGGCACCCCAGGAAAAAGCCTCTTGACAATGGTCTTGGCAGTGATCACTTGGATATGACACCAAAGGCACAGAAAATAAAAACAAAAATAGACAAGTGGGACTTCATCAAGTTAAAAACCTTCCTCACAGCAAAGAAACCAATTAACAGAATGAAAAGACAACCTACAGAATGGGAAGAAGATTTGTAAACCATATTCCCCATAAGGGGTTAATATCCAAAATATATGAGACTTCTACAATTAAAACAAAACAAAGCAAATAATCCTATTTAAAAATGGGCAATGTATTTGAATGTCTCTAAAAAAGACATACAAATGGCCAACCGATACATAAAAAGGTGAGGTGCTCAACATCACTAATCCTCAGGGAAATGCAAATCAAGAACACAATGAGATATCGCCTCATACCTGATAGGATGAATATTATCAAAACAATAAAAGTAACAGGTTTGATGAGGATGTGAAGAAACTATAACCCTTGTACACTGTCGGTGGGAAAATAAAATGGGGCACCTGCTATGGAAAGTGGTATGCAGGGTCCTCAAAAAATGAAAAGTAGCAATCCCACTCCTGGATATTTATCGAAAAGAATTGAAATCAGGATCTTGACAGATGAATACCTAAAATGTTCTATACACATACAACAGAATATTCAGTGTTAAAAAGAGAAAGAAAAGAAAAGAGAAGACAAGACAAGACAAGAAAATCCTGCCATATGTGACAACATGGATGAACCTGGAGAGGACATTATGGTAGGTGAAATAAGCCAGTCACCAAAAAATCATATGATTCTTCTTCAAAATAGTTAAACTCAAAAAAGCAAAGAGTGGAACGGTGGTTGTCAGAGACTGGGGACAGCAGAAAATGGGGAGTTGTTCAATATATATAAACTTTCAGTTCAGCAAGATGAATAAATTCTGACAGTCTGCTGTTCAACACAGTGCCTACAGTTAAAATACGAACGGTGCACATAAAAAAAATGTTAAAAGGGTAGATCTTACATCAAGTATTCTTACCAAAAACAAACAAATGAAAGGGTGTGAGGAAACTCAATGAAAGTGATGTGCATGTTTATCTTGATTGCAGTGATGGCTTCATAAGCATACTGCATACATCCACACTCGTCAAATTACCTTCATTAAATATATGTAGAATTTGTGTGTGTGTGCGTGTGTGTGTGTGTGTGTGTGTGTGTGTGTGTATATATGTATATATATATATGCTGTTAAGTTAAAAAAAAAAAAAAGGGGGGGGCGCCTGGGTGGCACAGTCGGTTAAGCGTCCGACTTCAGCCAGGTCACGATCTCGCGGTCCGTGAGTTCGAGCCCCGCGTCGGGCTCTGGGCTGATGGCTCAGAGCCTGGAGCCTATTTCCGATTCTGTGTCTCCCTCTCTCTCTGCCCCTCCCCCGTTCATGCTCTGTCTCTCTCTGTCCCAAAAAAATAAATAAACGTTAAAAAAAAAAAAAAAAGGAAGAATGGTGTGTCATTAAATTTTGTTTAACAACTAGCCAGGGGTAGGGAGGATCTCAGACTTCTAGTAATTGCCAATTTCCATGGTATAAATATTCCCACTACGACCAATGTCAAGCTACTGTGATATCACTGAACTTGAAGTTGGAAGAGATGCACACATTGTCACTGTACAAGCCAGCCTCAGCATGCCATTGGATAAGAACATTTTGGAGACAACGGGAGAAATTTGAAAGTAGACTGGATGTGTTGGATAATATCACTGAATTTATATTGATTTTCTTAGATGTGGTAATGGTAATGTGATTGTGTGGGCAAATGCCCATATTCTTGTGAGATATATGCTAAAATATCCTGATGGCATCCTGATGTTTAAAGACTACACTCGTGTGTGTGTGTGTGCGTGGGTGTGCGCACGCGCACGCACGTGCATGCATGGACACGTTTGGGAGGGGGGAAAGGATATATTGGTCTTCATTAACAAAATTGTTCTTTCAACTTTTCTATGAGCTTAATATTTTTAAAAAGGAAAAAATTAACTTGTGGCCAACAGAAGATACCATGTAAAAATCTGGATTTTCGTTTTCTATTGAAAAAAGCCTAAAAATGCAATTTCGGACTCATTCTTTCAAAAAGCACCATTTACCTGAACCTAACAGACAGGAGATGTGCTTGCCGATCAGTCTTACCTGGCCCTCTTTCCTCCTCTGAGTTACCTTCTTGACCCCTGTGGGCATTTGCATTTGAGCTCTGGGTCCAGAAACGGGTTCAGCGAACTCAAGATGGCCTTTTATGCTAGCTAGCTTCCAAGCACTCAATGGAGAAGGATAAAAAAAGAAAAACAAAAAGATGGTGCCTATTTAGTATTCTGTTCCTGCTTCTGGAATTATTGTTTTCATTGTGCCCTACGCTAAGATCTAAAACTAATTTTGTGCTTTCTCAAACTCATTTTACCAGCTCTCTCGGCTGACCCTTTCTGAAAGGATGACAGTATTTAAATTCCTTACAAGTTCTGGATTTTAAAATCATATTTCTCGGGTTAGAGACCTATAGACATGAAAGAACTTGGCGAGGTGATAGTCACCGAAATGACTTTGTCGTTTGGACGGCTCCTAGGATGGCTCCGGGGACTAAATGACACAGAAGAATCTAGCAAGCAGAATGCCTGTTTCACGCAGGGCTGTGATGTTGGCGGTGACTCTGGCGCCCTCTAAAGGCTACTGTGAGAAAAGCAGCCGCTTACCACGTGCTTTAAGTTTCGGGCTTTGCCGGAAGTGTGACGTTTGGGAGGGAGGGGGGCAGAGGTCGTGTATGTTCTTCGAATCCAGAGCCAGTAATCTAACTCGTCATTTAGCCCTCCCCTCATATCACGGAAGTAGCAAGCCCTTGTCCCACACAACTTTTCATCCTCAGTGAGGACTATACTCTCTGCTGTCACCAGCAAGACTGGAAACAGAGAACTTGATCAAAGTCTGCATTCCTGTGTTGTTGTTTTTCTTTTAGAACAAAGAGTTTGAGATGCGAATTTTTTTTAAGGCAAGCACTATCTTGTCTATTTGCTTTGAGAAATAAGTTGTCAGAGTATCTGCTCTGTGCCAATAAGGTAAGTGTGCTGGGCTATTCTTCATTGTCATTGTCTTTTTTTCTTTTCTTTTCTTTTTTTTAAATGGGGAAATGTTTCCAGAAACCTCTTTTGCAGAGGATGAATATTCCCCTTGCTGAGTGCCTTCCTTAAGGATGAATGTCTTCCTCAGGAGCCTCTTGATCAGGGTGAAAGCAACGGAATTAAGGAGAAAGTCAGCAAAGGAGCTGTTGTAAGGAAACAAAGTTAAGTGGTCGGGAGCAACCATCTGAAAGAAAGCTGTCAGTGAGAATAACAGCATCCCAGGACTTTCTGTAATTCTCTTCTCCCCTCTGATGTCATCTTACGGATGACATAGGAGTGCCAAGCGTTGGGAAACATAAAATACTCCACAGGTGTTAGGAAATACTATAGCATTGGCAAGTGATAATAAGAAATATAAACAGATCAAATTCCAAACCCAAATGAACCATGATCGATCGCATGATTTGCAGATCACCCAAGTCTCTCCATATTTCAGAAATGATTCCTACCATTTTCTGGTCTGGCAGGTCTGGGATGGGGTTTTCGTGTCGTTCAAAAGTCCAGTTCAATAGATTAGGGCTCATTTACCAAAGAACTCCGATTAGAAGCAACCTTTGAGCTACAGAGGACCTTACAGTCATAACACACGTTATAGTTTAGAGAAAGCATACACACACCTTATGTCCCACCACTCCCCCTGCCCTTCATGCCTGCGGAATCTCTCCTCCCTTTCAAATCACACCTAGTTTGGTACCAATTACTTGGCATTCAGACATAAAAACAATTCTCTTGGGCTGGAAGAGGACAAAGGGAAAACCACTGGAACCCTCTGTTTTACAAATGTAGGAACAATCTCACGGGGAAATAAAGAATTTTAAGTTCCTGCGGCCGGTCAGAGCCAGAGGCAGAACCAGAACCCAGATCTTCCTATTTCTAGTTCACTCACCAACTCCCCTCATTGACTCGAAGCATACTTTTTACATTTACGTATTTATTTTGAGAGCGATAAAACGAGACAGAGTATGTGGGTGTGCATGCGGGAGGAGAGGGGGCAGAGGGAGAGAGAGAGGATCTTAACCAGGCTCCTTGCCCAGCAAAGAGCCCGATGCGAGGCTGGATCCCACGACCCTGGGGTCATGACCTGAGCCAAAATCAAGAGCCAGACGCTAACCAACTGGGCCACCCAGGCGCCCCCCCCCCTTTTTTTTATTTAAACTTTTTTATTTGAAGCATATTTTTTAAATGGCTGCCCCCACTCAGAAATTCATAATCTGCAAGTGTTGTGTAATTCCAAGAGGTGTAAATTCCTAATTTGTTTTTGCTGCCTGTACAGTTTCTTAAGTGGCTCTATAAAGGACAAGGTGTTTTGCCCTGGAAAAACACAGCCCACTCTGTGTCTCTAACCAACAGAGACATTGTTGCTCTGTGTTGCTCTGTGTTGCTGTGTCGTGTAGCCAAACAACCCAACAGGGCCTGCAAACGTTGGTACCTGGAGCACACAACCGTTACAGGAACGCACCACATGATGTCATGTGTGTCCACATCTCTCCATATGGCAGCGTCTCCTGTTATGGGGTCTTTTCTTATTACTATTATTTAGTCACTGGGCCTTCATCATCTTTGGGTCCCCACCCTTGGCTCTCTAACTGCACTTCGAGGTACCCGGGTGCATCCATCCATTCAACAGAATGGATCCATTTGCTGCTCGCCTGTTCACTGGAGCATGTTTTGCACTTTGCCAGTTCAATCAGCAACCATTTCTTTTGTGTTTTGATTGCAAAGACAGAACACAGTTGAGATCTACCGACTTCAGCCTTCTACCTAGTGGCCTAGAAATTCCAGTGTCCTCATTGGCAGAGGCCATTTACTTCTGTTTGAAAGCTGTCTAAAAATCCTACTCCTCACCCCAAAGGAAGCTACAGGTATGTATGCCTCCTTATTTTCAAACTCGCTGATTGCTTTTGTCTGTGTGAGCTGTCTTTTCTAGGGAAAAGAGAGGAAGTGAGGGAGATAATTAGGGAAGTAGGGAATGAACACTGATAAATATTTGGTGCTGGGCACTTTTGTGTGAGTAATGTCGCTTTGTTTACAACTCAAACAATTCTACATAGCTCTTTTTCTTATTTTATAAGCAATAAATCTTAAGGTGTTCAAGTAGGTCGTTTGGAGTCACACGGCCAATCAGTTGCAGACACAGGGTTCAAACCAGTTCTGCTGCCTCTAAGTCCATTCTGATTGCAGCCTACCTAGCTCTTTCAATTCAATAGAGACTCCCAAGTCAACCAAGAGTCTCAGGGGAAGAAGTGCCAGTTTTGTCGTAAATAATGGAAGCCAGACCTGGAGGTCTCAACCCTACAAAGGGCAGGTTGGCAAGTAAGATTTGGCAACAGCCCTAAGAAATCCCTCTGTATCTCCTTGCAAGTCCCTGGATCTGCTCCAGGACCAGGTGAGTTCGAGGGTCTGAAGGGCTCAGAAGTCTTCCTCTGCCCCCTGTAAAGTTGATAAATACACTTTGACTCTGTGCCTGGGGACTCTGATTTGATCTAGAAGGCAAGCTGCAAAGGCATACTACACATTCCCCCAAGTCCATCACAAAAATGTGACAGCAAACCTGAGCACAGGTGAGGGAAGAGGCTTTCTAATGGGAACCACAGGACACCTTAGCCTCTCAGACCAACGAGATGCGCACATCCAACCTCAGAGTCAGAGATCTCGAGACGCTGCAGACTCAGCCCCTTACTAGCAGTGTGGCCGCAAATCATGCCACACGATGACGCTCTGTTTTCTCATTTACTGGCGCTCAGGTCTCAATAAATATTTTTTCTCTTGGTTCCCCAAGGCAAATAGCACTAGAATAAGCAGCATCACACTACAAAAATCACATAAGGGTTACACAGCAAGATCTCCCCTCAAAAAAATACCATGTCTTCAAAGGCAAAGCCAAATCAATTATACATATATATTTTTTAGAAAACAAATACTTTGACGTCTCGACTACTCTGTGTGTGTTTGGGACTGGCCAGGGGGCGTTGAGGGAAAGGCAGCACTGGCTACTGAATCCACCTGACGTGTCGGGGGCCTCAGCGTGACATATGTCTGATTTGCTGGAATCAACTGAGTGGTTCGCCCATCTGTCAAAGCAAAAGCTACGTTGGTGTTGACAGAAGCCCAAATTGTAGTACCAAGAAAAACTGGTTCTCAATCCCTATGACACTTACCTCCTCCAGTCTCTACTGACTGCCACAGACATCCCCATGTCCAGAAGACCTCATCCAGAATGCCCCATGTAGCTTTCCTTGGGGACTTTGTTCTGCGTTATGGTCACCCAGTCTTGCCTCTGTGCGAGGTTAAGAACCCCCCACTCAATTCATATAATATCACCATTGCATGGTAGGGGATGACCCATGACCAGCCGTCCTTCAGGACTCTAGAGGCTATGAATAAAAACTAATCTTTTTTGCTAGCCGCAATTCCTCGGGTCCAGAGAGACAAAGTGGAAGCAGAGGGTCCTTTTCATACTGAGGGGATCTAAAGTCCCAAGGGCATCAAGGTCCTGACTATACTAGTTAATAATAAGAACTAAATTTAAGTGAGCACTTACTATGTAGGAAACAGACTTCTACAATCCTTCCGACATATCAATCATTTAATTCCATAACAAATATTTAAGAGCTATTATTATTATTTCCGTCCCCACTGTACTAAAGAGAAAACCGAGGGCTGGAGACAAAAAAAAAAAAAAAAAAAAAAACAGGTAGCCCAAGGTCACGCTGCTAGTAAGTGACACAAAGAGTTAAACCAGAACAGTCCCATTTCAAAGCCCTCATGTTTAACCACAATGTGAGTCTGCCCCAGCTCAAAGATGACAAGAGGGTGTTTATGCCACCATGAAAGTTGAATGTCTTTCATGGGAGGCTCCTTTGATTTTGTCACGGGGCCTCCCTTCTTCCAACAGGTGCCATGGCTTGGCAGTGGTCTTGAGTGATTGGGGAAGTAAGTGTGGCCTGTCCTCCATCAAGTGCTGCTTGGATGAGGATCTGGAGCCCACCTGCTTTGAGAGAAGTAATGACATCGGGGGACTATGGAAGTTTGCACAATGTAGCTGCGTACCCTCCCCACCTCCTCAATCCTTAATCCGGCTGTCGGCTTTGTCCCTGCTCAGGCATGGTGACTTCAGCCTATCTTGGGGACCACATAAGAAAGCAGCTCACTGGGTGAGTGGGCAGCCTGGTGGCTGCAGTCAGTTAAAGCTGGCTGACTCTTGATTTTTAACAAGTGGCCGTCTCAGTTTGTGAGATGAGCTGACTCTTGATCACATTTAGCACAGAGCCTGCTTGGGTCCTCTCTCTCTCTCCTCTCTTTCTCTTTTCAAAATAAATAAATAAGCAATTAAAACAAAAAAAAGGCAACTCACTACAACAACTGCGAGTTATTGCGTAGGTGCCAGTACTGTGCACAGGATGCAGTCTGACAGGTGATGAACCCGAAGACTTAGCAGGGCAGAACAGAAGAAGACGGTTGGAAGGAGGAAGAAGAAGGAAAGTTAAGTCCAGCTACACATAGTATTAGGCGTGGTTTCTGGGACTACATTCTGAGGTAAAGGAGACAAAGTGCACATAGGTTTAAGCTAGATAGCATTAGTGAATATGAACAATGACACTTTATTTTTTTTTTAATTTTTTTTCAACGTTTTTTATTTATTTTGGGACAGAGAACAAACCATGAATGGGAGGGGCAGAGAGAGAGAGAGGCAGAATCAGAAACAGGCTCCAGGCTCCTGAGCCCATCAGCCCAGAGCCCATTGCAGGGAGCTCGAACTCACAGACCACCGAGATGTTGACCCTAATGAGATCGGACAGCAACCATTTCTCACCCAGGCATAGCCCAGACAACTGACGCACAGAAGGACGGAGGTTGGCCTCAGGAGTAAAGCCCCAGCCCCAGAGCGGCAGGTCTTTGGGAAGAGAAGAGAACTGGCAAGAGTGAGGCAAAAGTCAGACCTTGTAGCAGAGTTGGGGGTGGAGTAGCTTTCACAGAGTATCAGAATAAAAAAGTTTGAGATGCTGATCAATCCTTCTAAGGAGAAAGTGACCATCCTGAAGTTGCTGTTAGAGCCAGCTATTAGGTAGCAGGAAGAGCAACAGAGAGGCTGAGGGGCTGGAAGTGGCTCCCAGCCACCACCTGCCTCTGGTCTTATCCTGGGGCCTTGGCAGGGACCTAAGTCCCCAGCAGTGAGGTATAAAATGTCAGAGAAGATAGGAGGCCTTAGGGGAAAGAAAAGCAACATTCAGTGGGAGCTCCAGCATGGAGGAGAGTACTTCAAACTGGTATGAATGAGGAAGTACTTCATGGGAGAGTGGCATTGCCATTCATGCGACAGATGGTGAAAAACAAAGCATAAACAAATGTATGTGGCTAGGAAATGGTCACAGCCCTGTGATTATAGTGTACTAGAAGGAGAAAAACTCTTGTTGTACGCTATGAGCCTATTCACTGAACAAATGGAGCCAAATGTCAATGTGGACAGAAAACACTGGGTCTGGTTTTATTGTCCCTTCGCTGTTAAGCCCCACAGTTTGTTTGGTTTCTTCCCTAAAGTAAGATAGATAGGGGAGGTGGAGTGGCTCCAGTCAGTTAGCATCCATTCTTGATTTCGATGCAAGTGATCTCAGTGGTGGTCGAGCCCCGTTAGCTCGTGCTGAGTGTGTGGAGCCTGCTTGAGATTCTTTCTCCTCCTTGGCCCACCCATTTGTGTGTGCAATAAATTGCACACACACATCTCTCCTTTCTCTCTCTCTCTCTCTCTCTCCAAAGAAAATAAAGTAATATAGACTAAATTTTTAGAAAATAATACTGAGTTAAACAAAAGAAAATTACAAATTAAATATAATATCAATACCCATGAGAATTATATACCACTAATGCAGAATTTCTCTGTATATTTGTACATCTGAAACTAATGCAACTTACTGTGTCAACTATATACTCCAAATTAAAATAATAATAATAATAATAAATTTCAATGTAATTTCTTTCAGTCATATATATACTATTTCTTTTTCAAAAATGCAGTGATAGTATTGATATTCCATTCACTTTTTAGTACAGTACCTGTGCTTATAATGTCCTCTACCAGGATGGGGACAAAATAGACAAGGACCTGACCTCGCCCACAGTCTGGTAGGGAACAATAACAGTAAAACACATTGTTGTGCAGTGTGATCAGGGTGTGTTGAGAGTGCAGGGTGCTATCTTGGCCCAGCGTTCCTTCACCTTAGAAGGCAGTCGTTATGGAAATTGACAGCTAAGAAAAGATACTTAAAAAGAGAAATAGAGATTGGCTTCATCAGAAGTTCATTGGTATATTTTTTTTTAGAGAGAGAGAGAGAGATTGATAGAGCATGCAAGCTGGGGAGGGGCAGGGAAGAGGAGAGGAGGAGGGAGAAAGGCTAAGCAGGCTCCATGCCGACACGAGCCCAGCGATGAGGCTCCATCCGGGCCTGGCATTATTATGACCTGAGGTGAAACCAAGAGTCAGATGCTCAGTAACTATACCACCCAGGTGCCCCTACATCCTTCGGTGCTGTAATATGCATGTTTTTGTTTGTTTTGTTGAATGCGTTTTTTTGAGTGTGTGAGTTGCGACAAGACAACAGTGAGTTGAAGTCGATGAGGAAAACAGAGGAGCTGCCAATTATGTGATGATTTTTTCGAAGATTGATGATAAGGTTACAGAAGACAAGGCTGGAAGGGAATAGATATAGGTTGAAAGAAATTTGTTTTGTTTTTAAAATTAGAGTCTTTATTATTTTTAAGTGCTGATGGGAAGAGCCAATAAAGAGAGTGATTGAAAATATACATGAGCGATAAATATAAAATCAGTGAGTTCTCTGAGTAAAGTGAAAGAAAAGTCTAGAGGCATGAGTTGAGGAGTGAGATGAATGGCAAAGAAGGGGAAAAAAATAAGCAAGGGAGACCATAGGCCCCATGTTCATGGAAGATAAACTTAATGGCATTGTTAGTCTTGGAGAACCTGTATGTGTTGCTGCAGTTGATAGATACTATGTTTAATAAGTCAATCCCAACAACGATTTCAGTAACTAGCATAGAGACCTTATGCATTTTCGTGGAATTCTTTGGAATGTGGCAGACACTGACTGCTAACGATCTCTTTTTCTCTTCCTCACGACTCCCCACCCCCATCTAGCTAACTGTGCTCTCACCACAGGAAACTTCTAAAAGATGGGATGATAAGGTCTACAGGTCGTGGTGACAAGCGTCTGCAAAGGAGTAATGTTATGGCGACTTCCCCTTTGAAGATTATCCAAATGAACCAAGGAAAATTTTGGGATATCTTGAAATTTGCTGAACACTTTGACCTTCTGAAATACATTAGGTTTAGGGTAGAACACTGCTTGGGTCGCGGAAGGTTTAATGAATGAGAGGACTACTCATTGACAATCTAATGCAAATGGGATATTTAAGTAAATTCATTCTGATTTTATCTCTATGAACAAGAGGCAGATGGCAAGACTCCTTCTCCTGCTTCTCATGTTTTACTCAAAATAAGGCATTAAAATACTGAATATCCTGGTTCCTCTTGGAATCAAATTCTTATTCAGGATGAAATTTAGAGATGTTTTTCTTTTTTTGAGAGGAAAGGAAAAGAAATAAATTTTGCCCATAAACCCAGAAGAGGAAAATGACTAGGAATCTGGACCTGAAATTATAATGAGCCAAAATTCATCTTCCTATGTTTTTTTAAAGTCATTCAGTGTTGTAAACTCACCTCCTTCTGCGCCGGGGAGTAAAAACTGAATGTTTCTTTTCATCCAGTGAAGTCATTCAGATGTTTTGAATTCATGCTCTCTATGTTCTTTTGAGACTTTTGGCACAAGTTACTTAATTTCTTTTTTTTTTTTTTTTATTTATTTATTTAGAAGAGAGAAGCGTGTGAAACACAAATGAGGAAGAACAGTCTCCACACTGTCAGCACAGGAGGCAGGGAGGCAGTCTACAAACAACGAGATCATGACGGGAACCCGAAACCAAGAGTAGAAGACGCTCATCACGACTGACCACCCAGGTGCCCCAAGTTGCTAATTTCTTTGGGGAAGTAAACCAATATTGACAGATCTATCCTGAGACTCACTCGGCCGGCTTGAAGTAACAAACTGGTTACCGCTTCCAAGTCATTACATGAAGTCCAAAGGTGATTGATAGAAAATTTAGTGTTTGGGGTGCCTGGGTGACTCCATTGGTTGTCAAGTCTGACTTGGCTCAATTAGCGGAATCTCGCTTGATTGACAGAGTTCGAACGCGATCGGGCTCTGTGCTGACTCCCGGAACCTGGAGCCCGCTTCGAACAATTGTGCTCCCTCTCTCCTCTGCTCTCTCCCCCCACTCATTAACTCCCTGTCTCTCTCTGTCTCTGTCTGCTCTCTCAAAAATAAATCAAACACATTAAAAAAAA